TGGCCTTGCGGTTGCAGGAGATGATGATGCCCTGCTCGGTGCCCACCATGAACTTGGTGGGCTGTGGAAGGAGCGACACAGGAGGGGAAGGCTCCGTGAACCATCAGCTCTGCACTTAGCGGGCATGGCCAGGTGCCTGCTGGGGTGGGGTCTGCAGGTGCCAGAAAGGCCTTCAGATCAAGCCTCTGCTCGGGCTATGGCCGCACCGGGAGAGCTGTCCCTACTCTTCCCGGGATCCTCAGACCCCACCTTGTTTTTGGAAGCTGCTCCAGGAGCCTGTGCTTAGTGAAGCCCACCCTGGCGCCGGCAGGCCCTGGAGGGTCGTCACTAGCTCCCTTCACAGCCCATCACTGTGACCACGATGCATTTGGCCATCAAGACCCTGATGTTTGTTTACAGGCAGAGTAAACAAGGCCCAGGGAGGGGAAGCAGTGTGACCCACCCAGGTCACTCGCAGGATGGGCTGAGCCTGCCCTGGCAGGACAGTGACATTTGTCTTTCTTCTTTTTCTTTTCTTTGAGGCAGAGTCTCGCACTGTCGCCTGGGCTGAAGTGCAGTGCTGCGATCTAGGCTCACTGCAACCTCTGCCTTCCAGGTTCAAGAGATTCTTCTGCCTCAGCCTCCCAAGTATCTGGGATTACAGGTACCCGCCACCACCCGGCTAATTTTTTTGTGTTTTTAGTAGAGACGGGGTTTCACCATGTTGGCCAGGCTGGTCTCCAACTCCTGAGCTCAGGTGATCCACCCACCTTGGGCTCCCAAAGTGCTGGGATTACAGGCGTGAGCCACTGCGCCCAGCCGACAGTGACATCTGTCAGCTTTGTCCAGGCTGGTGTCCCTGAGAACTCAGAGCAGGTGGCCAATCAGCACTCAGGAAGCCGCTTGGCAGCTGGTGATGTGATTTGTCCCTCTACTGCTGGCTGGTGAGCTCTTTGAGGGGTGCAAGCTTGTCTTACGTGGGCCCATTGCCCACAAACTGACCTCTAATAGCTGCCCACTTCACTGCGGACTGAATACACAAAGGCTGGTCTCTGGACTCCTGATCCAGTGCTCCCTCTGAGCACAACCCCCTCCATCATGCAATGCCCCGCCTCGTTCACGGCTCCGTGGCTGAACTTCCGGGCTAGATCGGACAACCTCCACCAGCAGGGCCTGAGCCTACCATGGCACTGTGTCCCCAGCATTCCAAATGGAAAAAGCAGCTGAGTGACGTAGGGGACGAGCATGCTGAAGGGGGGCCTTTGTCAGTGGGCTCAGATTGAGGGAATGTGCTCTCTTTCCAGGTCCACAAGGGGGCACAGTTTTAAGGGCAAAAAATTCCCAAGTGCCATGCATAACCCACCCACGCCCCATGCCTCTCTATCCGGGAGATTTAACAGTCTCTGTTTTAATTTTCCAACGCACAGGAAAGGGTCAAAGGTCAACCACTCCAGCGGAAGTTCTAAGGAACCCCTTTCATTGGCCAGGGGTCTTGGAGAAGGTGGGGGGGTCCTCAGGTTAAAAGTCCCCTTCTTCCACACCCCGTCAGGCTCCATGTTTGGGTCCCCTTCCGCAAACACCCCCTTTGTGGAAGCCATCTTTCTCTCTCCTGCCTTTTCCCTCTGGAGTCCCCTTCCACACGCCCTCGTGGAAGCCTGTCTTCCCCTCCTAAGCTCCATCTCTATTCCCATGCAATCAGTGTGGAAGCTGCTCTCCTCTCCCAGATTCCATCTTTCTGGATTCTCTCGCTCAGTGTGAGAGGACTCTTCCTTCTCTGGTTTTCCCTCTTCTGGGAACCCTTCTTGCTCAGTGTGAGAGCGGCTTTTCTTTCTGTTGCTCAGTGTGAGAGCTAGCTGTTTCTTTCTCTCTTCTCCTGTTTCTCTCTCTACCTAAATAAATCACTTTCCGCAAACACTTTTTGAGCCTAGTATTTACTTTACAAGTGCACCTGCCGTGGTCCCCTCTCTCATTCTTGAGAGAGCAGGACATCAAGAACCTACAACATTCTCTTGGGGGAGCTGTGCCTCCCCGGCACCCCAAAATCCCGGTCACAGGATGTCCTCAGCAGGCGATGACCCAGCCCCTACAGAACGTTTTCCTGAGCCCTTGCCACCCCAACCTCCATGCGCAGTGCCTCGTCCTCTGGGGAGGGGGTCAGTTGAATGGTCTCCTCATCCCACCAGCATTCATCTCTCAGCCTTGGGCTGGGGTTGCCCAGGCAGGTTCAAGGCCAGAGCCTCCCAAAGCCCCAGGAATGGTGGCACATGACCCAGAAGCAAACAAGTGACACCTGCAAGGGGGAACCAGGCCTGGGCTGCACTAAGACCAAAACCAAGACTCAGCCCACGCCAAAAGCCAACAACAAGGGAAAGCTGCCTTCTTGTTTTAGAGAGGAAGTCTTCCTTTGCTGCTTCTAGAAGCTTCCCTCCTCTAACACATTTGCATTATGCTCAGACTTTGATTTTTCATTTTTTTCCTTTTCTTACGTAGGGACAGCGTCTTGCTGTGTTGCCCAGGCTGGTCTTGAACTCCTAGACTCAAGTGATCCTCCCACCACAGCCTCCCAAAGTGCTGGAATTACAGGTGTGAGCCACCATGCCTGGCCTCACATTGATGTTTTCCTTCCTTCCTTCCTTCCTTCCTTCCTTCCTTCCTTCCTTCCTTCCTTCCTTCCCTCCTTCCTTTTTCTTTCCTTTTTCTCTCTCTCTTTCTTTTTTGGTAAAGATTGAGGGTCTTACTATGTACCCAGGCAGGTCTTGAATTCTCGGCCTCCCAAAGTGCTGGGATTACAGGTGGCAGCCACCGTGCTCGGCCAAATGAATATTTCTTTGTCATTCTTTCTTAGTTACCGAACACTGAGGCCATGCCTGTGCTCTGGTTTTCCAAGCAGCCTGCTCTGACCTCATTTTCCTCTCCAATAACTCTTCTTTCCCCAGAGGAGGGCAGATGACCGGCCTAGGGCCCCCGTGCCAGGTAGGGCCAGGACCTGGGTTGGGGACTAGGCTTCACGACGTTGGTGCTGGGCGTGACCTTCCCCACAAAACAGGGCATTTCTGAAATTGTCCTGTCAAAAGACTGCCCTTTGTGTTAAGCTGGGCTGCTGGCCAAAAGATGACCTTGGTGCGATGATGACTATGGTGTCCTTCTTCAAGGAGCTCTGCTGCCCCCTGCTGGAAAGTTGTTGTAAAGGCCACACACGTCTAGGATGGCTGCAGGAAGGTTGGCCTCTCTGGGCTGGTGCTGGGTTCCGTGAGCTCCTGACATCCTAGCCATGGCCTGTCTTCAGCCCTGGCTGCCCTGGCAATGGAAGGGACAGCAACAGACACTCACCAAAGTAGATTCAAACTCCAGGGAGATGGCCCCCAAGGCATTTTCCAACTGCTCCTTTCTGGTGATGTCCATGATCACGACCTCAGTGGGCTCACTTATCTTTCGGATGTCCCACCACATGACCTGGTGGGAGGAGGGGTGACTGTCAGACCTGCAGGCCCTGCATTCCCCACTCCCACTGCTTTTGCCTTCCCCACCCCCGCCCCACCTTCCTGGGGCCAGCCACTGGGCCACAAACGATGGGGCCCCCAGCAATCCGTGGGAGCAAATACACTTCGAGGATTGCTGCTCTGTCCACAGTCCCCACACCTGGCTGATCTTCAGAGTCACCGGCAAGCTTCATAAAATCCAGATGCGGGGGCCTCGCCCCTGACCTACTGAACCAAAACCAGGCGAAAGGCCAAGAATCTGTACACGTCGAGACTCCCCGCCATAAGGCGATGTCCGGCAATGTTAAAAATGCACGTGTTTCCGGACCTAGAAGTCCCGCCGCCAGCAATGTCTGTGGTAGATTATCCCCGCACGTGTGCTATAATCTGTGTATAAAGACGCTCTTTGGTACATTTTGGGGAGTAGCAGCAAACTACTAGAATCCATATATAAATAATGGCTCACCCACACGATGCCATGATTAACAGGCATGGGGCAGCAGTTTACGAAACATGAAACTATCTCCAAGGTACACAAGATGAAAAACATCAAGTACAGAACAGTGTACAAAGTGTACAAAAAGAAAGTGAAGAAGAGAAATGTGTTTCCTTGAATATGCAGAGACTAGCTCTGAAGGCAGACATAAGAGATGGTTGCCTGCAGGGAGGGGAGAAGGTGCAGAAGGAGGTGGGAGGAAGGCATTTTCCTTTTTGTACCTATTAGATTCTGTTCTGTGGGCATGTATTATCACTATTCGATTTTAAAATAAAGTGTTAGGCCAGGCATTCATGCCTGACACCTGTAATCCCAGCATTTTGGGAGGCCAAGACAGGTGGATCACCTGAAGTCAGGAGTTCGAGACCAGCCTGGCCAACATGGCGAAACCCCATCTCCACTAAAAACAAAAAAATTAGCCAGGTGTGGTGGTGGGTGCCTGTAATTGCAGCTACTTGGGAGGCTGAGGCAGGAGAATTGCTTGAACCCAGGAGGCAGAGGTTGCAGTGAGCCAAGATTGCACCATTGTACTCCAGCATGGGCAAGTTGTCTCAAAACAAAATAAAATATAAAATAAAATGTGTTAAAGAAAATGTCCCCAGGGATTCTGATGGGGAATCAGGGAACTGTTACTGTCTCCTCCTTCCCTTGCCTCCCCAGTGTCTGGCCGGTGGGTACCTGCCCATCTGTGGATGCTGAGAAGCATTCGGTGCCCGTCTTTGACTGCAGCCAGATGGTGCCATACACAGGGTCTCGGTGGCTGAACTCGATGGTGGATAGGTCAGCCACCAGGCTGCCCTTCCGGGTGTCCCAGCAGGCTGGAGAGGAAGGAGATGAAGAAGCGGTGTAGGCAGGCAAGGGTTTCCTTCCCTGGGGCAGGGAGCGGTGGCGGGGGGTGCCTGCTGCTTCCGGTTTGGCAGGTATGTGGTTTTTTAGAATTAGGGCTTGGTTCCAATCAGCCTGAGTTTCCTACCAGCCCCCACAGACCCTCTGGAGAAACTCCAAGAGTGCAAGCTTCATTTAGTCCCTGAGCCCCTCCCAGGCATCGACTCCCTATACAACACTCGACCCGGGGAAAGCCTCTGGGGACAGGACAGGCAGAGTGGCAGGGGAACACATGAGGGTAGTCAGGGCAGGCCTCTTGGAGGCAGTGACAGATGGCTGGGATGGAAGGCCAGCCTCAGATGGAGGGAGCCAGGCGAGAGGAGAGCTGAGTCCCTGCCACTGGGAAAAGCACGCAGAAAGGCCCCATTTAGGCGAATCTCTTTGCTGCATTAGCTCATTCTCTTTTATCCTTTGCGCCTCTGCTGCCTCTGTTGGAGAGAAACTTACAGAGCTTCAGCGTTTACTGTGATCTGTTATCAGTGCTCTGCCAAGAATGATGGAAGGTTATCTGTCCCTTGTCCAGTGGGGTTTCGTTTCCATTTTCCCATGAGTGCACAGTGAGGACTCACCCTATCACTCAGAGCTGTTTCTCCTTAGTATTTCTTGGAGAAATACTAAGTCAAAGCTTACGAACTAAGTACTTTTAAGTAGTTACAAATAACAAAGTACTTAGTTCATAAGCTTTGACTTAGTATTTCTCCAAGTCCAAGGCATTTGCCCCCTGAAATGAGATGGTCCAGAAATGTTTTCTTAGATAAGCCTGCTCAGCCAGGCACAGAGGCACATTAGGAGGCTGAGGCAAAAGGATTGCTTGAGCCCAGGATTTCAAGACCAGCTTGGGCAACATAGTGAGACCCCGTTAAAAAATAAGCCGGGCATGGTGGTACATCCCTGTAGTCCCTGCTGCTCGGGAGGCTGAGGTGGGAGAATTGCCTGAGCCTGGGAGGTTGAGGCTGCAGTGTAAGATTGTGTCACTGCACTCCAGCCTGGGCAACAGAGCAAGACCCTGCCTCAAAAAATAAAGACAGACCAGGCGTGGTGGCTGATGCCTGTAATCCCAGCACTTTGGGAGGCTAAGGTAGGCAGTTCACTTGAGGTCAGGAGTTTGAGACCAGCTTGGCCAATGTGGTGAAAGACTTGTCTCTACTAAAAATACAAAAGAAAAAAAAAAATCAGCCAGGTGTGGTGGCAGGTGCCTGTAATCCCAGCTTCTCAGGAGGCAGGAGAATCGCTTGCACCTGGGAGGCGAGGTTGCAGTGAGCCGAGATCACGCCATTGCCCTCCAGCCTGGGCAACAAAGTGAGACTATAAGAATATCTCAAAAACAAAACAAAAAATAAAAATAAAAGATAAGCCTGCTCTGCTTTGGCAAAGCAGTGCTCAAGGGTATGTCCCACTGGGTCCCACATGGCCCTACAGGGCCCTTCTTGGAGCAGCAAAGCACCAGAGCCTGGGCTGGTATGAGCTGGCATGAAAAACCACTGAAAGAGGTTATGAATAATGAGTGAGGCAAGGCTCCTGAATTAATCATGGCAAAGTGGCTCTGCTTCAGGCTTTTAGAGCTCTGGCACCCAGATAATTTGGCAGGGATGTTTAAGGGAGCCCGGGTCTATTCCATACTCTGAAAGCTCCTCTGGGTGGGGGGCAGCAGGTCTGAGAGGGAGCTTGGGGCCTCAGGAAGCAGCTGACTACAGAGAGTTTCCCAGGAGGAGTTTCTCAGCCATCCTGGCCCCCGCCACAGCAAAAGTGAGAACACAGACAGGTGGGAGGAGTGGGGGATTCTTTTCATGCCCAGGGTCAAGACTGTCCTGGGTGTAGTTATGGGTTGGGTGTCTGGCGACTTCAGGGTCAGGGGAACAGAACAGGTAGGGACATTCAGAGCCAATCCAGGCAGATGACTTCTGATCTCACTAGGTATTGAAAAAAAGAAAAAAGGCAGTCTTGGCTGGATGTGGTGGCTCATGCCTATAATCCCAGCACTTTGGAAGGTCAAGGCGGTGGATCATTTGAGGTCAGGAGTTTGAGACCAGCCCAGCAAACATGGCAAAACTCTGTTTGTATTAAAAATACAAAAATTAGCCAGGTGTGGTGGCACGTGCCAGCCACTCGGGAGGCTGAGGCAGGAGAATCACTTGAACTCCGGAGACAGAGATTGCAGTGAGCCAAGATTGCACCACTGCACTCCAGCCTGGGTGACAGAGCGAGACTCTGTCTCAAAAAAAAAAAAAAAGTTATCCAGGTGTGCCATCAACAAACCGTGAAGTATGGACCTCCGAAAATTCTCTCCTCCATAATAGCAGTGAGAAAACTGGCAAAAATGGTCAGAATCAACTTTTTCAGAACTCTGGAAATTAGCTAGAGGCTTACAGCAGTCGGGAGAATGTTTATTCAAGAAAAACAGTAGAATCTGGGTGAAAAAAAAAAAAAACAGTGGTATTTTCACTTGCCCTAGTTAAGATAGCACACTCCGCAGTTCCGCGGTGGCCTTGAAAAATCACATTCTGTGCTCCTGATGAAAAACAGCAGCCTGGCGCCACCAGAGGGAGCAGAATGGGCTGGAGCTCCTTTCAAGTCTCATGCCCAGAGAACTGCCATTACCTAACCTGTCTGGCGGTTCCCTGATAAGGCTCCTCCTGCAAGGCTGGCTGTAATTGACTTGGTTCAGCCTTTGCCTGGTGTGAAAAGTCTTTTCATCAGGATGTAATTGCAGGCAACTGACTAACTCTGCAGCTTCCTGAGGCAGTGGATAACAGGGGCGGCAAGGAATAGACCGACGAAAAGGCTTAAAAGGAAAAGCTGGGCCAGGTACAGTCACGCCTGTAATCCTAGCACTTTGAGGGGCTGAGGCAGGACTGCTTGAGGCCAGGAGTTCACAACCAACCTGATCAACATAGCAAAACCCCATCCCTATATTCTCTCTCTCTCCCCCTCCCTCCCTCCCATGCTCTCTCTCTCTCTCTCTCTCTCTCTCTCTCTCTCTCTCTTCTCTCTCTTTCTCTTTATTTCTCTCTTTAGAGACAAGATCTCACTATGCTGCCCAGGCTAGTTTTGAACTCCCGAACTCAGGCGATCCTCCCGCCTCGGCCTCCCAAAGTGCTAGGATTACAGCCGTGAACCACCATGCTTGGCCTCTATTATATTTAAACAAAAAAGTAAATTAAAAAAAGGAAAAGCCTGAGCATGATGTGTTCACAAGGGCTTTGAAAAGCTCTGACAGATTCCTGGGAGTCTAGAAGGTCACATGTGTGGACAGAGCTGTGTGCATGCCCAGAGCTGTGTCATGCTCAGGAAAGCTGATAAAGCCCTAACTCTCATCTCTGGCTGACCTCATCCCTGCACTGACGCTAAGGCAGAGTTGACAATGGCCTGCTGCGTGTAAAGGCATGCTCACACGCACACAGAGCCCCTTAGCAGAGAAGGGGAGGTGTTTTTGGTGACAGATGCTTAAGGAAATTTTTGTCCAATTATTCACTAATCACCAAGCTAAGCAGAGACTACAGAGGGCACATGTGGCAGAGAATACAGACTTTCCAGAACCAGCTAAGAAAATTCATGAATGCAACAAAGAACAACTATAGCAAACAGCGACAGCACAAATTCTGCGAGGCCTGTCGACCTGATCTGCAAAGCTCCCAAATAAGATCATACACAAAGTATAGTTTTTGATAAAAAATAGTATAAGACATGCCAAGAAATAAAAATATATGGCCCATTACAGGAATGAAAAAGCAATAAACAGAGACTGTCCCCAAGAAGCCCAAATGTCAGCCTAACTACACAAAGGCCTTACATCAGCTCTGCTAAACACACTCAGAGAACTAAAGGAAGTCACATCGAAAGAACTCAAGAAAAGCATGTGACAGTATCTCACCAAATAAAAAGTACAATAGACAGAAATTATTAGTAGTAGTATTGGAGACAAGAGTTTCGCTTTGTTGCCCAGCCTGGAGTGCAGTGGCATGGTCTCAGCTCACTGCAACCTCCGCCTCCTGGGTTTAAGCAATTCCCTTGCCTCAACCTCCCAACTAGGTGGGACTACAGGTGCATGCCACCACACCTGACTGATTTTTTTTTTTTTAATTTTAGTAGAGACAGGGGGGTTTGATCATGTTGCCCAGGCTGGTCTTGAACTCCTGAGCTCAGGTAATCCACCCACCTCAGCCTCCCAAAGTGCTGGGATTACAGGCATGAGCCACTGCACCTGAACAAGACAGAAATTACTTTTTAAAAAAGAGCAAATAGAAATTCTGGAGCCAATCACCAAAACAAACATATGGTAGAGAAGCTTCAGGATGGCATATTTGAGCAAGCAGAAGAATCACTGAACTCGAAGAAGAGTCAATTGAGATTATGTAGTCTGAGGAATAGAAAGAAAAGAGAACAAAGAAAAACAGAGTCTAAAGACCTATGGGACACCACCAAGCATGCCAACATACACATAATGGAAGTCACAGAAGGAGAGGAGAGAGAGATAGGGTAGGAAAGGATATTTGAGGAAATAATGGTTGTAAATATTCCATATTTGATTTTTTTTTAAAATCAATCTATACATCCAAGAAACTCAATGAATTCCAGGTGGGATAAACTCAAAGATATCCATACCTTGAAACATCATAATCAAAGCTGAAGCCAGAGACTCTTGAAAGAAGCGAGAGAAAAAAATGACTCATCACACACATGGGGTCATCAATGAGGTCAACAGCTGAAGCTGGGCGAAGTGGCTCCCGCCTGAAATCCCAGCACTTTGGGAGGCTGAGGTGGGAGAATTGCTTGAGGCCAGGAGTTCGAGACCAGTCTGGGTAACAGAGCAAGACCCCATCTCTACAAAAATTAAAAAATAAAAAAGTTGCTGGGTGTGGTGACATCCCAGCTACTCAGGAGGCTGAGGAGGATTGCTTGAGCCCAGGAGTTTGAGGCTGCAGTGAGCTATATTCATGGCACTGCATTCCAGCTTGGGTGACAGAGTGAGATGCTATCTCTAAAAAAAATAGAAAAGAAAGAAAGAAAAAAGAAATGATAAGAGAATTAAAATGGTACACTAGAAAATATGTAACACAAAAGAAGGCAGTTATGGAGAAAGAACCAAAAAAATAAGATATATAGAAAAAAGCCAAATGGCAGATGTAAATCCTGCTTTATCAGTAATTACATTAATGTAAATAGATTAAACTCTCCACTTAAAACCAGAGTTTGACAGAATAGATTAAAAGGAAAAAAACTATAATCCAGGCTGGGCACCGTGGCTCATGCCTGTGATCCTAGCACTTTGGGAGGCCGAGGTGGGCAGATCACTTGAGGCTAGGAGTTCGAGACCAGCCTGGCCAATGTGGTGAAACCCTGTCTCTACTAAAAATACAAAAATTAGCCTGGCTTGGTGGCTCGCACCTATAATCCCAGCTTATTTGGGAGGCTGAGGCAGGAAAATAACTTTAACCTGGGAGGTAGAAGTTGCAGTGAGCTAAGATTGTGCCACTGCACTCCAGCCTGGCGACAGAGAGAGACTCCATCTCAAAAAAAAAAAAAAAAAAAATTATGATCCATTTGTATGTCAGCTATATCTAATCTACAAGAGGCATACTTTATTATTATTTTTATTTTTTTGAGATGGAGATATTATATACTGATAAAAAGGTGAATTAACTAGGAAAACATAACAACTATAAACATGTATATGTACCAAAAAACATAGCCTTAACATACAGGAAGCAAAATTTGACAAAATTGAAGGAGAAATAGACAATGCAACAATAATAATTGCAGATGTCAGTATCCGACTTTCAATAATAGATTGAATAGTAACGACTAGGTGAAGGATCAGTGAGGAAATAGAAGTCTTGACCAGCGCTGTGAACAAGACCTCCCAGACATCTACAGAACACACCACTGGACAATGAGCAGAAGATAGTCTTCCCAAGTGCTCATGGAACGGTCTCCAGGATAGATAATACACTAGGCCATAAAACAAGTCTCAATAAATTTTAAAAGGCTGAAATAAGGCCAGGCATGGTGGTTCACGTCTATAATCCCAGCACTCCAAGAGGCCAGCTGAGGCGGGTGGATAGCTTGAGCCCAGGAGTTTAAGACCAGCCTGGGAAACATAGTGAAACCTGTGTCTACAAAAACTACAAAAATTAGCTAAGCATGGTGGCACATGCCTGTAGTCCCAGCCACTCGGGAGGCTGAGGTAGGAGGATTGCCTAGACCCAGGAGGTCAAGGCTGCAACGAGCTGTGATTGGCCCACTGCACGCCAGTCTGGGCAATAGAGCAAAACTCTGTCATAAAAAAAAAAAAAAAAAAAAAGATTGAAATAATGCAAAGTGTATTTTCTGACCAAACTGAAATGAAACTAGGAATCAATAACCAAAGGAAAACTAGAACATTTATATATATATGTGGAAGATAAACAACATATTCCTAAACACCAATGGATCAAAGAAGAATTCAAAAGGGAAACTAGAAAATACTTTGAAATAAATGAACATGAAAATATTCCACACCAAAGCATATGGGAAGCAGTTAAAGTAGTGTTTACAGGGAAATTTACAACTCTAGATGCCTATATTTTTTAAAATCCCAAATCAATAGCCTAACTTTCCACCTTGAGACATTCGAAAAATTAGAGCAAATTAATTTAAAAACAAACAGAAAGAAAGACGTAAAAAAAATATTGGTGTGAAAAGAAATAGAGAATTAAAAAACAACTGAGAAAAATCAATACAGCCAAAAGTTGGTTCTTTGAAAAGAAAATGAAATTGACAGCCCTCTAGGTAGTCTGACCAAGTAAAAAAGAGTAAAGTTGGATTACTTTAATTACTAAATTACTGAATTCAGGAATGAAATTACTAAAGTCAGGAATGAAATAGGGAAATTACTACCAACACTGCAGAAATGAAAATGATTATAAGGGAGCCAGTCATGGTCGCTCATGGGACCATGGCACTTTGGGGGGCCGAGGCGGGCGAACCAAGAGGTCAGGAGTTCAAGACCAGCCTGACCAACATGATGAAACCCCATCTCCACTAAAAATACAAAAATTAGCCAGGTGTGGTGGCAAGCGCCTGTAATCCCAGCTACTCAGGAGGCTGAGGCAGGAGAATCTCCTGAACCCCGGAGGTGGAGACTGCAGTGAGCTGAGATCATGCCACTATACCCCAGCCTGGGCAACAGAGTGAGACTCCATCTCAAAAAAGAAGGAAAGAAAGAAAGAAAGAAAAGAAAAAGAAAGAAAGAAAGAAAGAAAGAAAGAAAGAAAGAAAGAAAGAAAGAAAGAAAGAAAGAAAGAAAGAAAGAAAGAAAGACAGAAAGAAAGAAAGAAAGAAAGAAAAGAAAAGGATTGTAAGGGAACACTGTGAACAATTATATGTCAACTAGACAACTTGATGAAATGGAAAAGTTCCTAGAAAGACAGAAACTATCAAAACTAATTAAATAACAGAAAATGTGAACAGATCTATAACAATAAAGGGACTGAATTAGTAATTTTTAAGTTTCCAAAGAAGAAAACCCGGGAACCAGATGACTTCACTGATGAGTTCTACCAAACGTTTCAAGAATTAATACTGGCCAGGCCGGTGGCTCACACCAGTAATCCTAGCACTTTGGAAGGTCAAGGCAGGAGGATGACTTGAGGTCAAGAATTCGAGACCAGTCTGTCCAACATGGTGAAACCCCAATTCTACTGAAACAATACAAAAATTGGCTGGGTGTGGTGGCATGGGCCTGTAGTTCCAGCTACTCGGGAGGCTGAGGCAGGAGAATCACTTGACTCCGAGAGGTGGAGGCTGCAGTGAGCTGAGATCACGCTACTACACTCCAGCCTGGGTGACAGAGCGAGGCTGTCTCAAAAAAAAGAATTAATACCAATTCTTCATAAAATTCCAAACACAGAAGAGAAAGGAACACTTCCCAACTCATTCTATAAGGCCAGTAGTATCCATAATCGTTAGCATGTGGGTTTCCCGGACTGCCTCTCCCAAAATGGGGCTCCCCAATGCTCTCATCATCCCTTTATGGCTGGCCCTAGTCAAATATTCTCTGACTTTACTTGAACTACAGTTTTTAAAAACTGCTTATTTTGAGCTGATTTTAGATTTACAATAGTAACAGGAGATACTGCTGCGGTGTCAGCAAAACCTGCCTCACCGGTGTCTGCAGTTGGTCAGCTATGGGAGGCCCCCACCCTGCTTGGTCCCCTATGGCCAAGCTCAGGGGCTCTGCCCCTCAGCAGCAGGACTGGCTCTGGTTAAGAGCCTGGGCCCCTCCTTACCTATCTGTCCATTGTAGCAGCCACCCAGGAGCACGTGGGAATCTTTGGGGTTGTACTCCAACGTAACGAGCGGGGAAGATGGCTTCAGAGCAAGTTCAGGCTTGTTGGGGTTTTCTAAAAGCAGAAAAAAATTACTGCACCAGGACTGGGAAAAAAAAGGACAGGATCAACGGGGTTCACCCCTTCTGCAGGTGGGGGCACGGTGGGGGGCGCGGTGGTGGGCGGAAGCTTGGAAGCTTCTCCAGTCTGTCCCCAGGCTACATCCCCTGGTCCGCCTTGGCCAGAATCTGGCATTCTTGATCCTAGGGGCTTTGCTGATGGTTTTTCTTTTTGGTGATCAGGATTGGGGTATGCCTATGTATGTGATAATTATATTTCTAGTTCAGTTCCCAGGTTTGGTGTCAAATGAGGTTTTGGTACTAAGGTTTTTACATAAAGTCAACTCTCTGCTAATTTCTTCGAACCAGGTCTGTGGATGCAAATGATGATGGAGTCCACCACCCCATGGGGCTGCTGTCAGAACTCACTGAGCTAGCGGAGTGTCAGGCGTTAGCTCTGTGCCTGGCACCTACACGTTTATTTTAATGATGATGACAATAAAGGGAAGCCAGAGAGCGTGAAGCCACCACCATCTGCTCCCTGCCAGTGCCTTGCCAACCCTTCTGTAGACAATAGTTTGTGCTCCTAAATGGATACACTGCCATGAATTAAAGGTAAGTGTCTGGACGGGTGGGACAAAGGCATGAGTTCTGTTCCTCCGCCCCTTAGGTCCCCTCTCAGTCTGCTGGACACTCTTTCTGATATGCTCTTTTCTCTGATATGCTCTTTGTTTTTTGTGTGTTTTTGAGACAGTCTTGCTCTATCACCCAGACTGGAGTGCAGTGTCGTGATAGCTCACTGCAACCTCTGCCTCCTGGGTTCAAGTGATTCTCCTGCTTCAGTCTCCCAAGTAGCTGGGATTACAGGTTCTGGCCACCATGCCCAGCTAAGTTTTGTATTTTTAGTAGAGATGGGGTTTCACCATGTTAGCCAGGCTGGTCTTGAACTCCTGACATCAGGTAATCCACCTGCCTTGGCCTCCCAAAGTGCTGGGATTACAGGCATGAGTCACTGCGCCCGGCCTGATACACCCTTTAGGGGCTAAGAATTGGGATCCCATGGGGTCAGGTCTTCATGCCTCGGACTAACAATCTGGAATTGGAGGGGGTTTCCTGCTTCTGATTTGACCCTGCTTGGCTCTGCCTGAAGCCAGACAAGGAAGGAAGGAGAAGACTGGCTTCCTCCTCGGTTGCGGGCCCCTCCCTTGAAGCACCAACCCCTTAAGTGTTCATGACCTCCTGTCCCTCCCTCCCCCTCCTCTGCTTGTGCTGGTCCCAGCCCTCAGCTCTCCCAGGCCACTGGGACCCCCCTGCTTCTCACCCAGGTCCCAGATGTATGAATCGTTGCTCATGCCCACAGGTGCCCGCTGAAAATCCAAGCAGGAGTATGCCACTGCCAACTTCCTGTTGCCATCAGGGTGCCAGGAGAGATGTGTGGCAGCCCTCTTGATTTCCTGGGGATCCCTGCAGGGGAGAGGGAAGAGAGCAGAAGGCTGGATGTCAGGTTCCCCAATTTCTCTTTCTTTTCTTTTCCAGACAGAGTCTTGCTCTGTCCCCCAGACAGTAGCATGATCTTGGCTCACCGTGACGTCTGCCTCCCAGGTTCAAGTGATTCTCCTGCTTCAGCCTCCTGAGGAGCTGGGATTACAGGCACCCACCACCATGCATGGCTAATTTCTGTATTTTTAGTAGAGATGAGGTTTCGCCATGCTTCCTCGGCTGGTCTTGAACTCCTGACCTCAGATGATCCACTCGCCACAGCCTCCCAAAGTGCTGGGATTACAGGCCTGAGCCACCGCATCCAGCCCCTCGGATGATTCCTAATGCATCATCCTGCTCGGGTGGTCCATATAAGAGGTCAGAGCCCAGCAGGGCTGGAGGGCAATAGGAAGGGCAGCCCCTGCCCTGCACACCCCCTCCTGCACGCCCCTTGCTCATAGCATTTGGCCCTGCTCTGTACACCATGGGTCAGACCTGCATTAGAAAAGAGTCCTTTCTGGTTGTGCTGGGATTGGGCTAGGTACTTCCCAGGGTCCTAAGTCAGTTGTGGTAGTGAAATGAATTCCCTAGTGTTGGTGTTTGAGGCAAGTCATTTCCAAAAAAAAAAAATACCTTTCCCCTCCATAGTCCTGCATCACCCAGACCCAAGGTCTGACCCCTGCAGGTCCAGAGGCCTCCCCTCCACATTCCCCCGGCACCTCCCCCTGCTCTATTCCAGCCTCCTGCTTGTCTCCACTCATCTGATTGGACATGGGCATCCTTGCTTTTTTCTTCACAGTTAAAACCAAGGCCACAGAGCACGGTCTTTCTCACTTCCACCCACTTCCCTTATAGCAGCCTTCAAGGCCAAGATGTCCTTCTCCCCCAGTCCTCTCCCCGCCCTGTTCCCAAGCTCTTCTTCCTATCAGCTTATTTCATACACCCTACAAAGGTGCTCTGGGATGGGGTATTCGGTTCCTGGCGCTGCTCCAACGAGGTCCCACAAACTGAGTGGCTTCAAATGACAGAAATTGATTCTCTCACAGTACCAGACGCCAGAAGTCCAAAATCACAGATGTTCTCCTCACATGAAGCATATAAACATACATACACGGTCAGGCGCGATGGCTCACACCTGTATTCCCAAGCACTTTGGGAGGCCGAGGCAGGCGGATAACTTGAGGATGAGAGTTCGAGACCAGCCTGACCAACATGGAGAAACCCCTTCTCTACTAAAAATACAAAATTAGCCGGGTGTGGTGGTGCATGCCTGTAATCCCAGCTACTCAGGAGGCTGAGACAGGAGAATCACTTGAACCCAGGAGGCAGAGGTTGCAGTGAGCCGAGATCATGCCATTGCACTCCAGCCTGGGCAACAAGAGTGAAACTTCATATCAAAAACAAAACAAAACAAAAAATCAAAAAACCATACATGGACATATATACACACATACACGTATACACGTATGCATATATTTTTACACATATCCAATCCAATGCTCCTTGACTAACGATGCTGGCTACGTCGGATAAACCCATGGTAAGTTGGAAATATCAGGAGCTAGAAACGCATTGAATCCACCTATCTACCGAGCATCACATCTTAGCCGAGCCTGCGTGCTCAGAACACCTGTATTAGCCTATAGTTGGGCAAAATTGCCTAACACAAAGCCTGTTTTACAATAAAGAGGTGAACAGCGCATGTAATTTACTGAATACTGTACTGAGAGGGAAAAACAGAATGGGTATATGGGCACTTGCAGTACGGTTTCTACTGGATTTGTATTGCTTTTGCACCATTGTGAAATCAAAAAACGGTTTCAGCTGGGGACTGCCCAAAAGTGTCACTCTGCACACACTTCTGCGCTGGCTTTGTTTTGCTTTGCTTTTCACACACTGAAGCCTGGAAATCACTTTGTATCGGCACATAAGAAGTTGCAGTGCTCATTTTTCTTTTGTTTTTTTCTTTTCGGAGACAGAATCTCACTCCATTGCCCAGGCTGGAGTGCAGTGGCGCAATCTCAGCTCGCTGCAACCTCTGCCTCCCAGGTTCAAGTGACTCTCCTGCCTCAGCCTCCCCAGTAGCTGGGATTACAGGTGTGTGCACCACACCCAGCTAATTTCTTTTAAAATTTTATGTAGATGACGTCTCAGTCTGTCTCCCAGGCTGATGTGCAGTGGCACAATCTTGGCTCACTGCAACCTCCACCTCCCAGGTTCAAGTGATTCTCCTACCTCAGCCTCCCAAGGAGCTGGGATTACAGGTGCATGCCATCACACCCAGCTAATTTTTATGTTTTTTAGTAGAGATGGGTTTTCGCCATGTTGGTCAGCCTGGTCTTGAACTCCTGACCTCAGTTGATCTACCTGCCTCAGCCTCCCAAAGTGCTGGGATTACAGGTGTGAGCCACCACACCCGGCTAATTTTTGTATTTTAAGTAGAGGTGGGGTTTCACCATGTTGGCCAGGCTGGTCTCGAACTCCTGTCCTCAGGTAATGTGCCCGCCTTGGCCTCCCAAAGTGCTGAGATTACATGCGTGAGCCATCGCACCCGGCCTGCTGGCTCTTTTTACCAGTGTTGTATGGGTGTACCGGAATTGCCAGAACCAGGCCTCTGCAGATGGGCTTAGCCAGTCTTTGGCTGGCACACATCCTCGGCAGTGAATATCCACACCTGCAGTGATTTCACACACACACACACCTGTGGGATGAATCCCTGGTGTCAAACTGCTGTCTTCTGGGGTTTTTCACAGATATTCTCACATGAGTGCAGGCTGGGGCGGGGGTCTGTTTGCCCACAGCACTGCTAGCTGCTCACGCTAGGTACCCGTATTTACTCTACACTGTGGGAACACGCCCCACTTGTAAATAGCTTGGCAATTTCACTTTCCCTGGAGTCAGCATTCCATTTCCATCAACCAGACCCGCCCCAGAGCAGGGCCACTTCTCTGCTGGGTGCCTTATTACCATGGCGCTTATCACGCTTGGAGCACAGCGAGTGCTGCACCCAGGGCACGCAGTGACTGGCAAGGAGTCACCTTTGGGGGTACCCATGTCCACGCCTTTGGGGGTGGCAGAGGGTGGCCAGTCACCTGCCTAGCTATGGCGCTACCTGAAAACATTGATGGTTTTAGCCGAAGGGGCCTCCTCTGTCACTTCCACGGCCTCCTCGTCGTTGAAATACTCCTCGTAGATGTCAATGGCATTGTTCTGCTTGATGCAGTGCTCCATGATCTGGGGGAACACATCGGAAGTCCTTAGCCATTAAAGGGAGGTCCTTTCAGATTGCTCAGGCCTGCGATGGCGTCTGGGAGGGACAGGACAGGACATAGCCAGGGACCTTTTCCCATCCACCTAACCATGCGCTTTCAACGGGGGAATTTTCAATTGGTTTTTGGGAGTAAAATAATATTACTTTTTATGTACGAAGCATAGAAATACATGCAGCACGTGAAAGATACACAACATGTCTATGGCATTCACATTTTATGGGCCGGGCGCCATGCCTCATGCCTGTAATCCCAGCACTTTGGGAGGTCGAAGCAGGTGGATTACTTGAGGTCAGGAGTTTGAGACCAGCCTGACTAACATGGTGAAACCCC